GTGGAGATTGTGTCAGAAAATGTGTCAGTCTACACGGTTCTACAATTCTTTGATGCACTTCTGGTATGTTACAGTTCTTGTCCTGTGCATGTAATGAAAAGTAAAGGATGCACGCTTGCTTTCTTGACTCAATACATTTGCTGTTTTTTTCAGTGTGTCTGCTCAGGGATTCTTGTGGGGTCTGGTATGCAGAAAATTGCTGCCTTGTCCAACTTGGTTAGTTACTACTGCATCGGACTGCCAGTAGGAATAGCTCTGATGTTTCATGCCCAGCTAAGAATATTAGGTATTCTCGCCAACGTATCAATGTCATGTGTAACAGAAACTTGCAATTACATTTTTAGTTCCAGAAAAATTATCTATATACAATTTCTTCTTCTACATTTTTTCTGAAATCTTTAAAAGTGTTTAGTTTGCACTTTCCAGTCAGTTGGAAACTCCACTTAAAATGATATATTAATCATTGATGTACACTGTAGTATAAAGGGAAATGTAATTTGATAAATGACATCCTGTTACAGGTCTGTAAAAAGACTGGGATGGGTAAAATTGGTGGAATATCTCTTTAAGCACATAAAATTATAGACAAAGAATCTCCCATTTTCTTAAATTGTATATTATATTAGAAATGAATTAGTTATTTTCTCATCTTTCAGTGACATCACAGACTAAAGTTTAATCTTAAAATTAATGCTACTTATATTTTCAAGTTTTTAGGACCTCATAATGTATATTTGCATATTATTATTATTTTTTTTTATAATTCCTATCACTACTGATGTTTAACTGTGTCAAATGAATGCAAACACACTGTAACTAATGGGTGTGTGTCTAAATTTCTGTCTTTGGTAGGATTGTGGCTGGGCCTCTTAATCTGTGTTTTCATTCAGACGGGTTTCTTCCTTTTTCTGATCTATAAACTCAACTGGAAAAAAGTCACACACAAGGTGAGAGATTCTCCTCTTTTCCTAAAAGTACAAATGTTCTTCAAAGCTTTTGTAATGGTCTGAGGGCAGGGATAAAACATAATTTTTATTTAATTTTAAGATTGTTGGAATTAAACTTAATTGTACCTCAGCTATTCTATTTCAAGATTGTCACTTGTCAATTGGCATTAAGTTTGAGATAGACTTGTTCATGATGATGTGTTTTCTATATTCTGCTTTTGTAATTAATTGTATGATGCGAGGTTATATTCATGCATCCTGAACTTCTCTTTAACCTCTCTTTTAGGCTCAACTGAGAGCTGGGAAGACAGTTGTGGTGACACCGAAACGTCCCACTAGTATGGTGCTGAATGACGGAATGCTGCCAGATATCACAGACTACCCAGAAACAGTGAGTGCACAGTGTAGTTTTGCTCCGTGTTGTGTTGGTGAGGTTTTCGGCTCATCTTATTGCACTTAGGCTACTGACTCATTCATTAACAAATTTATCTTTGCATCCTAATTAACCAGTTAAATAGCGAAGCATCTCAGAAGACGGATGGCTACAGCCCTGTCACCACGCAGGATCAGGTGCTGAGGGCAGCTAATCAGGCTGAGGGGGACAACCCGACCAGAGGAAGCACTGAGGGCAATGCAGAGCACGGCAAAAACACTTCCAGCATCAAACATCAAGGGCAGCTTTCCATGTCTCAACTGATCAAGCGTCGAGGACTCGCATTGTTGGTTTCCGTTTTTTTATTGGCCATAGGTGTTGCATTCCACTTTGCGTTCCCCCCACCTGAGCCCAGTGCCCAAAGTAGGGCCAACTTTACCCAAAATTGGACCAATGATTCCACTCCTTCACCATTGGAAACACTGAACCCAACCTCAACCTTCTAGAATGGAGATACCTTGTATTTACTTTAAAAGCAGGATATATTTAACAGTCTCACATGGGCTACTGGGTGAAAGGAAAATGTTTCACCATTATGTAAATCCAGAGAAAGCTGGAAGAAATATCCTGACAGTGACAAAAGGACATTTCTTTTTGTAAGATCATGTTTGTACTTTTTTTGTGTGAGGGGCTTCGCTGTGGCAACAGCCGTTGATAAGACACCCAAAGGGTGTCGAAGAACATGTGATTTCCTACTGATAGCTTTCGATTTTTCAACCTACACTTGATTTGATTTATATATGGCACTGGGAAACAAACAGAACCTTTTTGCTTACTGACTTTCAATCATTTTCTTGTTTTAATATCAAAAGATTGAAGGTGAATATCTTTATTAGACTGATGTGATATTTACATGTAGACATGTAAATTATTAAAACTTGTGTAACTACACAAATAGGTGACACATCACTGTTACTTTATACTCTTGTATCGTTGTCATACTGCCCTGTTATTACTTTGGACAGATTTGATAAATAAAAATGCTTGTTATTTTATAATAATTTCATGTACTTTTGTGTACCTAAATCCATGCAAATACTTCTGAAATGTGAAGTAGAACATCTTACAACAGGGGGGATAAGCAATGGCACAACAGGAATTCTAAATACAATGTTGTATCACTTTGTAAAGAATTGTGTCAGTGTCAGATCTAAATGATCAGTTACTGAGGAGCTGCTATTCACCAGGCCCAACAACTGCCATGCTGTAGCAGAGAATGCTGTTTGATCCAACAAATGGAATGGAAATAACTTTTGTGATACATTCACATGAGAAATTCTTTAAACAAACAAACACACACACACATCAAACAGTATTTTGTGAGCAAAATTGCACAAACAGAAATATTAAACTAGTAACACAACCAAGCTTCCCCTAACTGCCACAGTAAATTATAACTCCTAGTCACATGAGACCGAGAGCAAATCTTTACACAGTGACTTGTTAATGATGCCACAGCATGTTACTGATTGCAGTCTCTGGAGGTGAGCAATCCAAGAAAGCTGTCTCTGTGAGGGGCCTGTGAGAATATCTGCTGATGAGCATAATATTTCCATGTATGAATCCAACCTAATTTACATGATGAATGATGATAAATTACTATGCAAGTTCTTTTTTTGTGACAGTGGCAAATGTCGGCCTGCTACAAGTACAGTGGCTACATGTTGGACAGAGCAGGAACACAGAAGCTATTTTGAGGTTAGCAAACAATCCAAAAAGCTATGCTTAGTAAAATCTCCTTTTATGAGAATATGAACACTAGAATTTGTAGTGTTGTTTTAGCTGCACCTAAAATGTCCATGTCCACCAAGTTTCAATTTTTGTAGGCTTTCCCTTCAGTCTTTTCAAAAATACTATTTTCTACCACTAGATGTCCTACGACTTCACATAAGACGAGACAAAGTGCCTCACCGTTTTGTGCAGTTTAAATGGTTCTGCCTTTTCGGGGCTGGTCTTTTTTGGAAAAAAAGGATGATTCAGGATGAATCACTGTGTTCGTGCAGGTTTCAAATTCCACACTTCTGAACTAAAGTGAGCTATATTCTCACACCTGGGTGCATTTTGTATGGATGAGAATACAGGATTTCACAGTGGTCATGTGCGGTGCTCATTTCAAACACATTTCAGACGCCTGGAGATATGATGATAGGATTTGGAAGCTAGAACCATGTGAGGCAGATAGATAGTCCAGCCCCTCTGTGCATGCAGCCACTCTGGTCCCACCACTGGCACCAGCCCCTGGTCCTAACAGCAAGTAATCATCTCGGATTGAACAGGAAATGCATGCTGCCTTCAGTGCCAGTGGTCATGTAAAAAAAGCATTTCTATTTTAAGATGATTGTTTCTGGCTTGAATTTCATCAAGGGCAACCATTTTTCTGTATTTCAATCAACACTGAATTTAATTTTCATCTCTTTGGTTTGTTACTACCTGACACTAAAATAGTGTGGAACCTGTATCTTTTAAGTCTTTTATGTTTTCAATAATACTTATCTGACATCTTCACCAAGCTGCGTATTTAGACTGTAAACATTTACTGTGTTAACCTGTATATTATGTCATGAGTGAAAATATTTCACAACAAATGTCAGATAGTTTCCTGTATATTTGTCAGCAGTTTGAAATTTTTCTGACCTGAACAGATCACAAAAACATAGTCAGACAATAAACTAAATCATGTAATTGGTAACAGTAATTTTAGTATAATAAAACACCTATGTAATGGCAGTACAAATAAAACACTTCCAGTATGCATCACACAACTTATCACAGCTGCTAGTTTCCAAATCTCCATTAAATGGTAGATACCTCATTAAATCCACATGAAAGGAAATGACTTATTTATTCACAAAACAAACAATTCAAATAATCTTCCATGAACTATATTGAAGATCTTTTGCTCAATAAACAGAATAGTTTGCTCTCCCACATGGCACCAGTCCCCTGATGAGCACTATCCAACAACCAGGACTGGTTCTCCTAACCTGGCACAAATAAAAGAAATACGGTCCAGTTAAATTGGCCGTGTAACAAAGACAAAGGCCATCTATATGCACTGGTAAGCTGAACTTGAAATTGAAGTGAGCTTAGAATTGCTGATAGGCAGACTCTCTTGAGTTGGTGGTAAGTTAAGCTAACATGTTTCAGAGAGTCAAGTCACGAGAAACATCTCAAGAAATCAGAGTTGGTCAGTTGTTCTTTACAAACAAATGGGAATTCTCTATCAATGAAGATTTTCTGATTGAGAAGCTTGAGCTAGCTATCTGCTAGTTATCTATTTCTTGGCTAGGGACGGGTGGTTGATTTACTCCGTCTCACATGTCTTCTTCCAGCCGGCATGTCACAGTGTAAGATTACAGACCTTTCATTATCATCAAATTTGGCAACACAGATCAAAGGAAAGAGAAATAAACCCAAGAGAATGAGCATCCTTTCCGTATTCAATGATGAAAGCACACATCCACAGATGTGCTGGATCCTAAATATAACATTTAATCAAGCACTTTCTAATTGTGGCATCCTTTCACACTATAAATCATAGAATGAGAGAATATATAGCTATCTTGTTTGAGCTTAATTTTATTCAGCATGTTTATGATAAGAATGTAAGCCAATACATTTGTATTTCACTTTTGCTTTCCACTGATTGTTAGATGCAATGGCCAGAAAAGGGTGTTTGATTAGAATGTAGACGGTGCAACCAATTCAACATAAAATATAACAGCAGAATTTTATCTTTTGGAGGCCATTTGGCACTTGTCAATAACAAAATTCAACATTATATATAGTTGGATTGTGTATTTGAGTTGAAATGGAGATACAATGATACAATTGAGTGTCATATTTAAACATTTATTGAAGAGGATTTAAAATATCTATCAAGATACATCAGTCTGCACCATAAACAAAACTATTCACCTGAATCTCATGTACATTGCAGAAAGAACTCCAAGAGCCTGAATAGATGCTTTTCAGCCTCATCAAGCTTTGCCTCGTAGTACACATCTGTGGTCAACAGTTAATCATGTATTTCGAAATGTCTGATGAGCATCTCACTGATGAAGACTCCAGAAACAAGCACAACAAACATGAGCAGCACAGAGAGCCCGCGTCGTACCACCAGCTGCCTGTCTGACAATGCCACATTAGCTGAATTCTGCTCCTCAGTGCCAAACACTTCCAGCTTCTCCCCCCTTGGACTCTTAGAGCTGAATGGATTGGCTTTCATGTGGGCTTGTTTCTCACCAGACTCCTGGGCTATGAGGGAGAGTTTTAACACATGATTAACATGATTAACATTGAATGACCGAATCTAGAGCATGAAATGTTGTCTTCTTACCCATGTTGTCCTTCTCTGAAATATGAACACCTGCTCTAATCAGTGCCTATTCAAACATAAATCACAAATATTTTTATTTGAAATCAAGATCCAATTTAAAAAAATTCTATGCCATCTGTATAGTTGATTTGATATATATATTTTTTATTTCTTATTGTTTTGGTGTGGGCTGAAATAAACATATTCATTCTTTGACACTGGGGTGTCACTCACCTCCTCAGTGACTTTCCTCCAGTTAAGTTTACAGAGGAAAACGATAAATAATATGGACTGCAACACAACACTAACTAAAAACCCCGTCCAAAGTCCTGCAACAAAGATGAAGAATGGACAGTTTGTTAGGTTGAGCAGGGGTTGGGCATCAATAACGGCCCAACTGTATGCTATTTAATGCCTCCTCACCTACAATGCCCATTTTGACAGGGAACATTAATGACACTCCAATAGGGAACCCAATGAAGTAGTATCCCACCAAGTTCAATGCAGCTCCAATCATTTGCTTTCCTGTTCCCCTGACAATGCCTCCTGTCACCCCCTGTGGAGATAAAACAAAGCTAAATCTGACATCTGTGTTGACATGTTAGATTTAGTTTGGCCTGTAGAGGATTAAAGTGAAGTTCTCTCACAGCAAAGGCCTCTGGAACATGGATGAACCCGTACATCTTCATGATATCAGCCACTCTCTGAACAATGTCCCTAAAGTTAATGACATGAATCTGAAATCAAAACACAGGCAGTTACCTGGAAAACTGATGTCACTTATTTTCTAGCTTACAACCTCTGTCTTGAGTAGGATAACAAATCAAAAATGGAAAATTCAAGCACACTGGCTGGCAAACAACACTGTGCTTTTGGTGTTATACATTGACATCAGTTGAGGGGCCAGTTTCTGAGAATAGAACAACTAAAATAAATAGTGCACAGGTCTTGACATGTACTCACTCCTCTGTGGTGAAAATGTAACCAATCACATCCCGAGCTACACCCAGACAGGTCCCAATGGAACATGAGACAATAACTGTATTGGAAAAGAAAGATGTTTGGACTTATTGATTTAAGGTAAAATAAAACTTTCAGCCAAATGAAAGAGTTACATCCAATAACTCTCCCCTCAACAAATATGGACATCATTTTGAAATTATAGAAATAAAATAAGATATATTCACAATGCTTGTCTAGAAGAGTATTGATGTCTGAAAATAGAGTATTTCTGTTCATACGTGTACAGATGAGGGACACCTTGCTGGACAGTTTTGCTTGCTCTGTGTTCCCAGCACCAAGAGCATTTCCAACGCGAACACTGGCAGCAACAGAGAAACCCATTGGAAACTGTGGACCAGGATGAAATAAGTGGAAACGATTAGGTAAAGACCTGCCATGGTGAACATTTTAGAGTGAGACCCTACAGGGGAAATCCACTCAGGCCTTTTTATTGATCTTACATTAACACACAATGGTAGAATAAGAGAACAAAAAAAGGGACTTTACCATGTAAGCAATGGCAGCTAGTTCATAAACTATAGACTGTGCTCCAAGTTCTGTCTCACTGATGATGCCTGCCAGGAACCCTGCAATCTCATACAACCACCACTCCAGACAATGCATCAGCATGCTAGGGATAGCCAGGCGGAGGAAAGAACCCCATTCCTGCAGGCAGTCTCTTGACCAACCTTGGAGATAAAGGGAGGAATGAGGAATGTATTGGGTTGCATCAATATTTGCATCAATGAAATTCAGCTGTGATGTTGCAGTGCACAATTCACAGAGACATTGTCTACAGTGCAGGACAATTTTTCATTAGATTTGTACAGCAGATGAATTGGGATCTACAGCCACTCCTCAGCTACAGTGTTCTTGCCAATATGTGTGCTAATGCAATTTTCACTACTGGTTTACAAGTTCTTTACAACATCAGGTATAATTTGGATGCAAATGTTTGTTACTTAGCATAAGTAAGAAGATGATTATCAGTCTAAATTACTTGTAATTTTTAATAATCTTCTAGACAGTAACGTCCATCACTTGAATAATGTTTTTAAATGAGTCAGCTATTGTAAATTCTGTCCAGAGAGCACTCGGTTTGTTCACACCAAGTGATTAAATTATGAATTAATGGCTAATAAACTTCAAGTGAAACAACGCCAGTAGATCTAACACAAAAACGTGAGTAAAATCTCGCATCTGGAAAGTAATAAGCAAAATGTATTTTTAATTATTTATCTCTTTATATATCTTGCATGTCAGGGCTGTACCAAGTATAGAAGCACTGGAACTGGAAAAATCAGACTTTTTAAAAATAGTTTTGACAGCAGATTAGGAGAGTGCATATAGCTTTTACTATCCAAATACTCTGCAGATGATCTGTGGGCTAGTCATGTTTGCAAGTATTCCACCCAGGTATCTGTATCACAATCTTTTGCAGTCACACATTTGTAATGTTTGCAGAAAGCCCTTTTGTAGGACCAGTGTCGTTTTGAAGGCAGCATATGTTGCAGTCAGAGAAGTGTAAATGAACTGATGTCAAAGTCAATGATGCATTCCCTTACCATCACAGCCTTCAGCTGATAATGGATAATGGTCTGGGTGGTCCTTTTCATCTCTGTTTATGCTCGCTTTGTACAGGTTCACCTAGACCTTTTCACACAGTGCTCATTGCCGTTTCTGAATAGAAATCTGAATTTAGTCGTTTAACCAATGTTTGTGGTAATATCAGCTATTTAGGAACAGTGGTTCTTGACTCTGTACCTTTCATACAAAAGTAAAATATCCTAAGCTTGTGTGGAGTGTTTAGGTTTAAGTAAGTATTCTCTGGGAAACTAACTACACCATCATAATCAGAACAATACATTTGACGGACGACAAGGTCCAAATAACATGACATAACACTCTTTCCTAAAACAAAAATCTGAAAACTTTTTGACTGACGTTGAATGACTCAAACGTACCATCCCAAGTCGCTTTGTGCAACCCTCTGGAGCAAATGTACACAAACAAGAACACAGCCAAGGAATACTGTGAGATAGCATTGGCAGCCGCAGATCCACTGCAGTTGCACCATGTTGAAAAGTAATTGAAATAATTGAAAAGAGGAAAAGGATATGGTTACTGCCACAACTACCTGATAACCTCCACTTGACCATGAATATGAATAATGGAAATGTCTTTGAAATTACTCAAGTAGGTTGTACTCACGTAAACCCTAGATCCAGGACATTGAGGAAAATGTAATTGATAACTGCATTTAAAACATTCCCCATAGCTCCACATAGTACCTGAGGCCACATGATGCCCTGTGTGAGAGAGCACATATACTCATAATCAGATCTTCTTTTGTTAGTGACTCATTCAGACCCCCAAACAATCTCACCACAAATAAACCTTCAACCTTTTTTGTTTTAATCGTGAAACGCACCTGATTCTGAAGATACCTTCCCTGCAGCTGGTACATGAAGGCAGCCTGCAGAATTCAACAAATTGAATGGGGTCAGATTAATGAAGCTGCACAGCAGCTATTCCGAACAGTGTATATGAATGGAGATACAAAAGACATAGAGTTAAACTCACCGGTAGAGCTGGCATGAAGATCTTCACATACTGCTGAGAGATTCTAAGCAAAAGGAAAAGAGGACATTTCTCAATAAGTGCAAATTTCAAAAAGTGTACATGTACTGTATGTACTCATGCTAATTTACGCTAGTGTGTGTTTCTGAGCCACAGACTTTGTCGAGATTTTTCACCTGGCAACCTCCATGTTCTGTCTAACAGCCAACAAAATAGGCTGTGTGTTAATAAGCACAGCCCAACAAGGGAAACAGGATAAGAGTAGAATCAAAATCCCCCTTTGGAGAATCACTCCAACATATTTTAGGTTACCACTCCCGTAGGTCTGAGAAGAGGATCAGAAAACCAAATTATAACAAGGATGGCATTCAAGAAAAACGTCATAATTGACACATGAAGACAAATGTAGCTGTGACTGCAGACGTGAATACCTGAGATATGAGAGTGTCACATGCTGATGCCAAACCACAGCCAATGGAAATGCCTGTGACATTTATGACCTACATTAAAATTAGATTTCATCAAACAAAACACTGGAAGGAAGAAAAATGTATTTGAAAAGATACATGTATGAGTAAAGAATCTATTCAAACGTTAAACCTGAGCTATCAAGGTTATGTTTAAAACAGAGTTTCCATTAAAGCAGAAACAAATTATTTCTTACTGCAATTGCTAATGCCACTCCAGCCAGTTCTGTTTTCCCCAGGTGACCACAGAACACCATGCTGACGAAGCCAATCAGGAAGCTCATCATCTGTGAAATGACCTGAAAAGCAATATTCATTTTTTTTTAATGTGGTAACATTGAAAATCAAATCTATATAATGATCTATACCAATCATGATCGAAATATTAAAGTCCAAATGTAACACGTAAGATTAGTTGATTAAGTTATGAGTTATGAAATAAATGATCCAGGTGGTTATTTGGTCAGAAAGCTGACACATTTGGTCAAAAAGCTGACTCATTCTCTGGTTTTGGACAAGCGCTTATGTACTTTTAAATGTCTTTTTATTCTTCTCTTTTTAAGACATAGTGTTAGATTTTCTGCACAAATGACTACCAAACAGCTCTGGGTTGGTGTGAAAAATAGAATCCATTGAGAACAGGAGATACCTTCTGCTTCTCTCCCTGTAAAATGGCAATTTTAAGCAGACGAGGGATATGTGCATACACAAGGCCACAAGTTTTTGTTGGTGCTAAATATCTGTTAATTGTATCTGTTAACAAGTCTATACACGGGAGATATTCTAAGAGGCGTTGAAGTTTTTTTCAATGTCGACTTAATTAATATACGATTAAGCATGGAGCTAATTTCAGATCAGCAACAAATGACACTACTTTTTTGATTCATGTTTAAGAATAACATTCAAGCTCTTTTTCAAATAATAGGAAGTAAAAAAAGCTCATTATCATCGTGTCAAGAGGGGGCACATAAGCCAAACCACAAAAGACAACGAAACAGCTATTTCTTTTACCTAATATACTCACACTGAATCATTCTTAGTGTCATTGCAGCAATGATAAACATTCTCCCTAAAAAATGTCCAGACTGGTGAAATATAATGATACAATAGGCTACACCTAAACATAATCTTACCACAGGTCCAGCCAGTTTTATAAACTTAATCATTTCATTCTTGTACTCCGCAGATATCCTGAATTTGATGCTTGTGAGGAAGGATCTGCAGCATGAGTCAACACCGCCAGCAGCAGGAGAAGGTGATTCGTCTGTTTTTGTCTGGCCAGTCGCTCTACCACATGTGTTTTTTCTCGCTAAATCTTCCATTCTCTAATGAGATTTGGCTGAAGACAGAACTCAGCTCCAAACTGAATTATGTCTATACAGTACAATCTCCCCCAGAAACAAGCCAGTGGTAATCAATAACTAATTACCAGGATAATAATCAATAACTGAGGAGGTGTCTGCCCACCTTGCTCCTTGTGTGAATGGACTGCCTGTAAGGGCAGTTCTCCAAGTCAGAGATCGACACCCCTAACTCACCAGCAAGGTGCACACATGGAGGGAACAGTGCCTAATGCCAGTACAGCTTCCAGGATCTGCACTTGTGTTCCAAAGTTCAAAGGAGTGAAGTGTTTTGTAGTTAAAGGGTTAATCCACATGCATACAATTAAACACACTGCATGACTAACAGAGCTCTCACTCTGTTTTTTTGGCTGTTCTTATCATAGTATTGAAATTTGCGATGATATGAAATAACAATTTTGGTCTTGCTGATCACGTGTCCCTCTTGCCCAATGACAGGTGGAATAGGATCCTGTCACCCCGTGACCTCACTTTGAAAACTGATTTTCATCTTCAAAATGATCTTAAAAACTCTTTTAAAGGAATTTTCTCTCCACAAATTAGATATGGATTGACTTCAATACTGTTAATGTAATGTAAAAAGACACAAGGCTGAGCTTGATCTGTATCTGATGTAATACTATTTTTTCCAGAACTTTGAACAAATCATACAAGTAATCACTTTGATGCAGTGATTCCCTCAACCTTTTCATTTTCCTTTAACTTTTGCAGAAGCCACACTTTTTTTAGCCTCAGAAAGCCAAAGCTGAATGATAATGTGAGACTGAGTCACACTACACAGTTAGGTGACGTGTCAATGTGTGTTTGGAACTATGAGTAACCACATTTATAGAAAATTTTGAATCATTGCAAATGAAAATGAAATGAAGAACATCTTTAAGTAGAAAAATGATCAAAATAACATTATCAATGAATGAGTGAACAGTTCATGAAAGACCAGAAATAAAAAATAACAAAATTGGGTTTTATCTACATGAAAATCCAGTCATATGCTTTCTATGCCTTAAATTCACAAATGAGTGGTACATTTTTACACATATTGAAATGCATAAGTGTTAGAAAGAATGGCAGAAATGGTAAGGCATAATGACAATAAATGCAACAACAAATAACCAAAATGATAACAGTTTTGCAATCTAAAAATACAGGAATATAAAAGATAACACAAAAACTTCCCAGAAGAATCAGCAGCAAAATACTCAGTATTTAAGTAAAATTACAGCTTTGTTCTCTCTGACTCATATGCCATTATCTATGACATGACTAGCTCATCAATACTGAGGCATCAGTCTGTAAGCAGAGCAGCATGAAAACAACTGCAGCTGCTCCAAGTGGAGCCAGCTTGAGCTTTTTTATGTATGACTTTATATACAGGAAAAAGAGACAAATGTGAGGAATCATAATATAACTATATAACTATATCAGAGAAGAAAGTTCTCACATTAAAGCCCCCTTGAACGTTATGGCCTTTTTGTTTAAATATCTACTAAGTAGCTGCATGAAATGACTATTCACTGAACTGAAATCCTGACGGTTTAGTAAGATCACCCTTTAATTTCCAGATTATTTTGAAAGATTACACCGGAATCAAGTGTGTCAAAATGTATTTAATTGTAGTTACATTAACAAGGAAATAAAGACATAAACACAGATTTCCATTTATACTGGAGTCTATAATATAATATATATCTGAGTGTACATACAGATAAAAAAGTGTGTAAACAGACAATATTTAAAAATCCCATCCCTGGATGGAGCTGCTTATTGCATAGTGAAACAAAACAAAGCTTCCAATGACAATGATAGAGGATAAAATAATGTTATGTTGTTCACTCAATGACAGATCTGCCTTTGTTTTTCCTCTCTGAAATAAATCACAGTCAGTCAGCGTAAAGCGCCGCTTGTGTTTGTGTCCTGTCACCGCATCATGTAGTACACTTTGTGTTCCTCTGCCTTGCTAACACCTCTCAATAAGGTGTTCCTCCTTCCAGACGTGGATATAAAACCTCCCAGTGGGTGGTGCTGTTTTGTTCCTGCTCAAAATTCAAGTGCATTCAGATATTTTTGCCACACAAAGCTCCTTCACTGAACTTTGGATGGATTTTCCCTCACTTATTCAAACATTCTTAACTTTTGTACTCCTTTTAGTGAGTTCACTCACTAGACCCGGTTAAATGATTCTACAGAAGACTGTGAGCTGTAAATCCTAAAACTCACATTTAATATTTGCAGATTCAATTGCATTCTTTGTCTTGTGAGGCGAAATGAGAGGAGGAGAACAGAAAACCCGCTGGAAATTGACGGAGGCAAACAGGAGACGAGCAGGGTGACACCTAATGTTGGCTCTCATTCATTTTCCTGGTTCAGTGATGCAGCAAGGCCCAACGGGTCCTCCCACCAACCAAATTGTATTCCTCCATCTCCCCCATCCCAACCACATGCGTAGAATCACACACACGTAAATATGTTCCACCAACCAAAGGGGCCGGCGTGCGCTGTGACGTCACACTGCAGTTCTTCTTAGGCTCCGCTGGATGACACCGGCAAGTCGTCGCTTCCACATGACAAACCGTCATTCTTAATGGCGGCCTCTCAAAATGTGCGTTTGTGTAATTCCGTATGTGTTTGTATCCATTTGGGTGGGGTTTTCGCGCAGGATTGGTAGTGCCGGGGTACTGTGGAGGCGGAGGGGGTTTATTTGAGGGGGTGGATGGGTGGGTTGGAAGTGGTGGAGGAGGCATGGGCAGGAGGGGGGGTCGGGGAAGGGGGGGGTAGTAAAATCGCAAATGAGAGGAAATTGTTTTGAGTCACAGCAGATTTGGTGGAGAGAGATAAGGGCTGATGACGGCGGTGGTGGTGTGATTAGGATTAGAGGGGTGGAGGGGTGTGTGTGGGGTGTTGAAGAGAGTAGAGGGCGGCGGTGATGGGGGGGTGAGTGTGTGTGTGTGCTGGGGCTCATGTGTGTGTGTCTAGGTTGTGAAATTCTTCCTGAGTATGAAAGACCGGAATTGAAGCAAAGATGAGGAGATAGGCGGCGGAGATAATGGCGGCAAGAGAGAAGGGATAAGGGCATGGGGTGTCGCGGAGAAAGATAGAGTGCGATGGAACAAGAAAGAGTGGATGAGACAAAAGAACTGAACATTTAATAGAGAGGCGAGAAGAAAAAAAAAAGGGACTGGAGTACAGAGGGTAGGCAGCGGAGGAGGAGGAGGTGGGCAGGCCGAGGATGAGAGGAGAGACATTGAAAGAGTGCCAGTGATTTTTGACGTGTCCCCCCCCCCCCGCCGCCCATTTGTTGATGATGTTGTGGGTCGCTTTGGTGGCGAAAGCTTCAGGGGTTTTAGAGTGAACAATGACGCAGAGGGACCCGCCGCGTCTGCTCCAGCTGATAATGATGATGCCTAAACATGATACCAACAATAAGCTTGTGGAACCCGAAAACCGCTGGCATGTGACACAGTACGTCACAGACTATCACACATCACACGCTGGACATACAGACGCCGCTATCTCACGTCGGCAGCGTGTGGTCAGAGGGAGCCGACGAGACACAAAGAGAAAACAGAGGTGGACACATTTTGAAGGGGAAGCGGGGGAAAAAAAAGGGATTACACTTTGAGTCTGTCGTCTGCATGGACAAATGCTCGACTCCAATGTGTATGAGCTGAAAGGGAAATAGAAATTGGATGAATTTAAAACTGTGCCTATAGTATGGGGGCAATCTTGTGTAATTTTCCTTTTATCTGCACAGACAGGGGAAATAAAATCAAAGGAAGCCACTCAGAGAAAGCTGAAGCCTACTGAGAGCCATTATTTTAAAATGTGCTAAAAGCTGAATGTGATGCTGCGAGGTATGGGGTAAGGGTGGGGTCTGCCTAACATATTTATGGCCGCGTATTTTCAGTTTAAGGCTCAATGCTGCCGAGCTCTTCACTTGAATGTTACACTTCGGCAAAGGGACTGATAACTGAAGCGCCGATGCCCCTCACCAAAAACTGACAGTCCAGATGAAAAGTAATTCAGCCATGACTAACGCAGGGGAGAATTTGCTGTCTTCTCCTTCTGATGATGTATGAGCCTTTTAATTTCTTTGGTGAGTCATATAGAATTGACTTGAAACACTCATAGCGATGCTGCGCTCAAATTGTAAAGCAGGTGCTATAAATATGGGTTGATGTTTTGGGAATCTTCGTCAGCTTTGTGAGGAGAGACGGCAGAGGAGTGGTATTCTTCTTCCTCAAAAACAAATTACAGTCACGACATGTGACTGTCGAGCCTCTCCGGTAATTAGGTTAGTCTATGCCTTAATCAGTTCCTTGTCATACCTGCTAAAACAGGCACCGCGGGAACGCATTATAATTCCGCTGCTGATTTAACGGTGCCATCCTAATGCAATGGACGAGCCTTCTCAAATGCCACCAACCCTGATTTGTCTTCTGTGAGTCATCCAGCCACTAAAACAATGCGACACCATGCCGCCTGGTTCCTCATGACACACTGTCCTTTCCATAGCACCCTTGATGAAGCCGGCGGTTTGTCCGCAGCTGTAAACACAAACAGACAGCACCAGAGGGTGTCTCACAGACTGCTCACACGGACAGCAAACAGGTTTCTGTGGACATCTCGTGTGAGTCAGTAGAAAGCCCCCTAATTAAGTTAACACACTGTGATAATGTGCTGTGGTTTGTCGAGGAGGTTCAGAGAGTCGTGTTTTTGATGACAAATTCTTGGTTGAAAGCGACTCTGTGCCTTTTTGGCTTAAAGGCTGAAGAGTCTCATTGACTGTGGCAGCTGGCTGACCTTGGAGAGAAAGCAACCAGTTTCTCTCACTTTCAGTTTCACCCTCTGGAGCTTCTTTTTTAATCTTGTTTGAGGAAGTGAAGCGGGAGGTGTTCGTTCTGACATGAAAGTCGTAGGAGGAAAGAGGCACCTGGTCTCACCTTCACTTCATTGTGCCTAAAACCAGCCAGTGGCTCGTGATGATTTGAGTCATAGCTCTTTAAGCCGATCCCTGTACACCGAGAAAAGGTTGGACAAAAGCACAACCATTTCTGATTTAAAAATAGACAGAAATCCATTGACTTATTGTAGAACGAGTTAAGACTATCTCAGATTCAGTTCCTTTCAACCCTGAAAAATAGGGACGATAGATGGT